CTGGCAGGATACAAGCCTCGCTTTCCCCAGCGTGCTGCTTGGTTCTCCATGTTTCTCCGTCTCGGCTGCATCTTCTGGCCCCAAACACGAGAGAAGCGGGTAGCCAATAACTTCTACGTGTGCAGAGCAGATCCTCGTGCACCAACATGCCCAGAGCTCTGCTGTTCCCAGCTCTGCTGGACCTGCATGGATAAACAGAGATTACAGAATTAATCTCACAGTCAGAAGAAGCTACTGTTGCATTCCAAAGTCACCTTTTTCACACGCTGAGCTGTGGCACGTGCCGTTGGCAGTGCATACCCACCCTCTACCCTGCTCTCCCTGCAAACCATCAGAGGCAATGCCCTGGACCACGTAGGCAGCTGGATGAGATGCCCAGGTAGTGGGCTGAGATCAGAGGTGCCTGGTGTCTCACAGCAGTAACTGAGACTTTGGCCAGCCACTCAAGCAAGCCCGACGCTGAAAAACGAAGCAAAAGCATACGCACGTGGCCGGTGAGCCAGTCCACTTTGCCAAGCAGCACCTGGGTGCGCTTCGGAGACGGCGAGAGGCACTGAACAGGCAGCTCCAACACCTTTTCCGTGCGGGGACAGCAAGCAGCCAGGCTGGGCATTTTCCACAGGGAGCCGCTGTCTCTTCTGAGCACGCTGTCGCCTCGGGGGCAGACACGACTGTCCCCAGGCCGCTCATCCCTGTCTGCATGGCCACCGGCCGGCCTGGCAGTGCTCAGCTGGGCAACGCGACCTGTTTAGGCACTGGAGTGAGACCCACACCACGTTTCACACAGACATCTTTATTTTCACGTTTGTATGCAAGAGAATGTTCTTTTTCCTGGGATGTGCTGGTAGACATATTATACCCTACAGAATGGACTTTAGCAATTTTTTTTATAGATAAATATGTATGTCCACACATATATAGAGCCTCGCAAAATTTCTTCTGCATTTCTCCATGGGTCAGAATGGATGTTTACAACAAACCAGAGCTAAAGGGACACTGTGAGGTTCCGCTCTATTTTTCTGATCTCTAAAATAAAACAGTGCTTGCGTTTTTCTTCAACCTGATTGCCTGCTTATGCTTAAGCAAAAATGCTGAAGAGAAAAGACATGCCTGTAAGCTTTCAAATGTACTGCTCTGAGATGCCACCAGTGATGTAGGTAGGACGTTTTTGAACCCGTATGTACACAAGGGCCAGGCTTGGAGCATGTCACTGCAAAAATACAAGAGCACCCCTGAATCTGTGATGCAAATAAATCCCTAGCAGGTAAATGTTAGGCTCACAGCACAGTTCAGCAGTTTAACAGCCTCTATGCAGATAGATATGTGTTTATAAGAGTCCTGCTTTTAAAAGTTTCCCTGTACATTTTTAACCTGACAGTGTCCCTTAATAAAAAAGTACATACTAGGATTAAGGAAGGACACCCTCCTACAGGTATTTTCTTTTTATTATTAAACCCAACATTTTTAAAACCATTCAGCAAGGTTTAATACAAATTCCCATTGGAGAACTGCATCTGTGAAGCTGTGCACCGCTGCTCCATTGACATGGCTTTAGTATTCACACGTGCTATTATTTGCACATTTCCTTAGGTCTTCCACGGCACTTCCATGAAGAAGAAAAAAAAGGTTGCTACACTGCTGCTCCCACCTTATCAGAGGTGAGACATGGACACAAAGGTGTGTTGTTCTCAACACGTGTCACGGTCAGGCAGCGCCAAGTTCTGCCCACAGTGCTCGAGCCTTAGGATACCCGCACCTCAGGTTTACGGCTCGACCCGTGACCACGCACAATACTGCAAAGCATTCAAAGAAACAGGAAAACAGACACCGACGGGAACGGGTACATTTTTTTGCATTATCATTAATCACATTCCTATTTTTCAACAGATTGTTGCCTAAAACACATGGTAGAAAGGCTTTGTTTTCTTCCGAAAACGCTGGCATGAAGGTGCAGGCTGCTGCTTTTAACTAATGAAACAGTCAGACTAATGATTGAGACGTTATTTGAACGTTCACAGCTTGGAGGAGATTTGCACAGCTGACAGCACGGACGGTCTCACTGTAACTTAGAAGCCAGCACAGTAACTACGTGCCACACGCTGGCAGGGGGATTTCTGACGGTACGAGATCAGCGTACACTGTTTTATTCAGAAAGCTGTAGTAGTAAGTATTTGCCATAAATATTGCAAGCCCCGCTCACGAGCGATGGGAGGCGTTGCTACTTTACAAAGTAACATCGACGGAAAACATAAAAAACAAACGCAAAGACATTTCCATGCAGAGTACGATTCTCTCACAGTCACTGGATCCCTGGCCTCCGTCGGCTGGAGCACACGTGCCGTACACGCACACGCTGCCCACGGAAAACACGGAGGCCTTCCCTGCGCTGAGGCATGCCAGGCCGGGATCAGTGGGATCAGGGACAAGCACGGGGCAGCGACTGGTTTGGCAAAGGCGGTGGCAGACAGACGGAAGGCAGAGCTAGAGCTACATGGAAACACGAGGGTTGTGTGCCACTGCCAACCCTCCTACCTCAGCCACAGAGACTCGAAGGGGAGCAGAGAGGTAGCGACGGAGGGCTGAACGCCAGGTACGTGCAGGGGGGGTCTGGACTCCTGCGAGTCCAAAATTGAAGCCTCAAGAGCAGAATCAGGACCAGTGGGGCATTCAGCATCTCCCCCTCTGCCTAGCGCACCCCCTCTCGTTACTGGGAGTGGAAAACTGACGCTGGAGCAGATAAGGAGATGCCAAACCTGCCGGGTCACTGACGGTGACTGCTGACTGTACCGAGAGTAACAGCCACACG